AATCTCACTGAAACCAATCCAAACTGCAAAAGGCAATAGCTTTGACTAACAATGCCTCTTTATGAGTGGGAGGAAAATAGGGTGTGAGCATTTGCGTATATGATCCCCACCTGTTTACACCACTTCACAGCACTTTGATCTATGGCAATTATAAAGCAATGTCTTTGTAAAGAATACAAAAAGAAAAATCCATTTGAATACTATTTCCAAGAATTAGCAGAGGACAAATTCCTTTTCAGAATACCCTTCGAAGTCACACACCTACACATGACAAATCATGCACCAAAGGCTTCTGTGATTTTGCTGCCTGTATTGCCTCCTAATGCAGATTTCAGTCAAAATGGTATGTGACTTTGAACCATTCACAAAAAACCCCCAACAAACCACATAAAAATAACTGAATCGGCCATGCTGTTAGAGCAGTCAGATGCAAAAGAGGACAAGGCTCCTGTTCAGGGCCTGAAAGAAACGAGTTATAAATAATTATTTCACTAACAAAAGCATACCAATACACTGGTTACTGGACTGCTTTCTATCAGAGAGACTGTTCTCCCTCAGTACTTTCATCTATCAGTCAAAAGTATCTCTCTTTACACAAGCTTTGGGAGAACAGGCAAATATTTAATTATCTTTTGATTGCTGCTGGTTTGTATTACTGGTTTGTACTTATGATTCATTTGTCAGTTTAGACATCTGCAGTTTTAGGTATGTGTACTTCGTGATTTTAACTGTGTTTTGTTTATGTATCTACGTGAGCCCTTAGGAAGAATGGTGACAGGTGTAACATAACAAAGGAGAGTATCACTCCATGTGCAATTTAACCAGTGATGAGTTTCTTTTATAGTTACAGGATGTAGCCTCACTTAAATGGTGGAAGAGGAATGCAGCATGGTTTATGTGTTGTTTTGAGTTATTAACTCATACTCTAGTTCTAGGTAGAGGCCCTGGAACTGCTTTTAATGTATGGAAAGGGGTGCTGAAGGCTTATGGGGCTTCCCAATTGTCAGAGAATCGGGGGTGGGTGGGGGGGGAGGTGTGGGGGGGAGTTGGAAACAATTATAAATAACCTTTCAGTAACAAATAGAAGTCACAAAGAGTCGGAAACGACTGAACAACAACAAGCAAATAGGAAAAGAGGTGATATTAATAGATGAAGATTGTAACAAATAGTACATTTATTTATTTATTTATTTACTGTATTTCTATCTCACCCTATCTCACCCCAAGGGGGACTCAGAGCAGCTTGGCACAATTCGATGCCACATCAAAACATAAACATAACAAATGATAAATACATAAAACATTAAATCATTAAACACAAAACAAGAACATAAATAAAAGCGGTGATATTAATAGGTCAAGATATGATATTAATAGGTGAAGCATGTATATAAGCTATATATGCTGAAATCCTCTTCTCTGTATACTTAGTGAAGTAGGCAAAAGCTCTCTCCTCTTTGGTATCTGGTCATCATCCAGAGAGAGAAAGAGTACAATGAGCCCTTGGTGTCTGCAGTGGTTTGGTTCCAAGACCCTCCATGGAGCGCTCAAGTCCCATTTATGCAGTGGTGTAGTACAATGGCATTCTTTATATGAAATGGCAAAAAGGTTTGCTTTTTTGGAATTAAAAATAAATAAAGCCATGGATGGCTAAATCCATAGATGCAGAATCTGTGGGAATGGAGGGGCAAAAGTGTTGTTTGAAGACATGAAGATAGATCTTTAAAAGCAGCCAGTCTCATTTTGGTTTCCTAAGAGTCCTGTGCTTCAAAGAAGGCATTCGGTATTTAGGGTAGCTACCCCAACAACTGCTCCAATTTGGTTTCAGTTCTCTGATAATCTAGTTCAGTGTTCACTTCAGAAGCTTTCCTTTGAGAGGATTTTCTTATCCCCAGAGAGCACTACTCTTAACTTTGCTGTTAGCATTTCTTTGAGCATCCACAGTTTCTGATGAAGGCAGAGAGTGTGATGCTGACAGGGTTGCCTTTGGTTCTCTGCACCTTGTTCAAATCAATTCTCTGAAGTACACTTTTTTCTGTTTCACTGTCTCAGAGGAGCCCATTTGTATTTCTCATTTCCCTTTGCTGCTACTAAACCTGCTCCTGGCAAATATAAAACACAACTGGCACCCTCCAGGTATAACATAGTCAATCTCTTATTTTCCTGTCATAACTACAGTTCTCTGTCTAGTGAACAAGTGTATTTTTTAACAATGGTTGCTCTTAGTGCTTGTTCCAAAATTTAGATATCCTTGGCTATGATACAGTTGGTGTGGTCCTACTGTCCCCAGGAGGCTTTTAATCTGCATATTTCCGGAAGTTAAAAAAACAATAATAAAGGGGAAGTAAAACAAGTTGAGACATTAACATACAATTTGAATATTAAGCGTGAGAGTTAAAATAATGTTAAATATTTGTATATTTAAATAGCAGTGATCAAAGCTGATATAAATCAATAAAACATATTTTAAGACTGTGACATCATCCTGTGCTGCAAAGCTATTGCTGCAGCACAAAAATTAGCTACTTTGGCTGTAATTTCAGAAGACTGATCATCCAAAAGATAATCTAGAACTGATACGTTTGAGAGCGGTTGCTCCTTTTGATTTTGCTTTATGCCACTGAATTGAGCTTTGTACTGGGGATTTTGGTAAATTGCATACTATATGCTCTTTTGATATTATACTTTCTCATTACATAGATTGTTTTGTGTTTGTTCTGATACCCTACAAGTATTCTGGGATATTGTGTAGTAACAATATTATATCTTATCTTTAGTATTACAGAAGGAAGAACCTTGAATTTAGCCAAAGTGAGTGCTTCTGGAATAATTAGATTGCTTGAGGGGGGGAAAATGTCGTCCCATTAACTTTGAAAGCTGGAAAATGAAAGCTGCATGCATATTGTTTTGTAACTCAGTGTAGCTATGCTGCCATATATATTCTTTGGCTTTAGTGTAACCCATAACTAGAGCAGCATTTTGTGAGAATCCAAAATGTAGAACCTTTTCATCAACTAATGCTTTCCATGTAGACTGAAATGAATCAACATTAGTGGAAGAGGACCAGTCTCTAACCATAAAATTGCATCTTAATTTTTTTGTCCAAACAGATTCTTAGGCCACAATATTGCTAAATTTGTACACTTGTGCTCCATATAACATTTGTGGTAAAGTCTTACCATTAAAGACTTAAATTGCTGAGAGTATAAGCTGGCTGCCTTTAACCTTAACAAAATGAAATGAGTGAATTGTAACTTTGTTGTACATTTGCTAAGGTGTAAAACACTTGAGCATTACAGGATTCAGTGGGCTGGAAAATAATTCCCAGATATTTATAAAATTTGACTTGTTCAATTGGGCGCCCATTGATTTGCCAGCAGTGTTTACATCTTTTGAGAGTAAATAACACTTTAGATTTATCATAATTAATTGACAGATGTTCAGCATTACAATAGACATGAAGTGCTCTTAGTTGCCTACAATGACAATGGTAGAAGTACAGCATCATCTATATAAAGTAGAGCAGGCATTGCTTTTCCTGCCAATTTAGGAGGATGAAAGTTTGTTCCTGAAAGGGATTTCACCAGGGAATTTATATAAATATTGAAAAAAGTGTGGACAAAAACACAACCTTGTACTCTCATATTGTGTGTATTCATCTGGTCAAATGATCTTCACAGTATGTCTATGTTGTTGGCCTCAAGTTTGTGCTAAAGTCTATCTTTTGAGATCAAGTCAAATGCTGACTTAAAATCTATAAAAGTTGAGTAAGGTGTTCCCTGAGCAAGGTAAGAATATTTTTTCTAAAAAATGCTGTAACATTGTTGTTTGATGGTGGCTCTCCAGGGAGACAAACTGGCATGTAATAGGGACAGTAGTTCATTATCTCTTGAGTGTGTTGGAGTGAGTAACATTTGCTTTTTCTTAAGCTGCTAGATTGCATTCCAGTTTTTAGAGTATAAGCAGAGTATGTATTAATGTCATTCCCTGTCTGTTAGCCGCCCCCCCCCCCCCAAAAAAAAAATCTGTCTGCATTTTGGGGCCCATCAACATGGCTATAATGATCCTTACTCACCACATGTTAAATCCTGGCTGTCTTCATGAAATTTCTCCCCTTGGAGTAGGTATTGCAGGGTAAACTGAGTTTATGTAATTTAGCCTCACGTTTAAAAAAGCTGGGGGATGCTCCAGACTTTGCCTGAAACTTGGAAGAACCCTGCTGCTTCAGCACACTGTAGACATTAGGGTTGGTTGAAATTTGCACTTGTTTGATGTCAACATCCCCTTTTCTCTGTGCTCATCAGTGCAGAGAAATTGGAACAGTTCATGCCTGTGTTGCCACCACTGCCCTTCACAGGTGACCACAGAACTCCATGTGAATTGTCATGGGCACTCTGTGATGACATCAGCATAGTTTTCCAGGGCAGGCAACCTGGAAATGGGGAAGCATAGAATGAAGAATTCAGTAGGCACTGGATGTGTAACCAGCCCCCTTTCCTCCAGTAATGTGGCAGTGGCATTAAAAAGTTTCACCGCTTGGAGTCTTTCAGATTCTGGAAAAAAAGTCCCAACCTGTAATATAAATAAAAATGTATATCTAAGACTTATCAGAGCTTTCTTGCACTGCATCTTCCACACTCCCTCAACCTCCATGGTCATTTTTAAGCTAATGCAGTTGGTCCTCCAATGTATCTATAAATGTATCCAATGTATCCAGAAACCAAGAACAGCCTGAAAATATTTTTAAAATCCCCAACAGCAAAGTTTGATTTTGCCATTTTATATAAGGGACGGAATTTTGCCACATTTTACTAAACTCCATTGAGCATCTGTGGAGTTTGGTTGTCCACAGGATGTCCTGGATACTAGGTGTTCAATGTATAGCTGAACTAATCAGTATGGTGGGGTGATAATCTTACAATTTGTTCTGTGTTGTGTAACATTTTTGTTTGTCTTCAAGCAATGAAAACTGGCAGTAATGAAGGGAAGATGTGCAAAAATAAATTAGACACGTAGCTTTATTGAATTACCTTTTTTGGGTAATAAAACATTTTACAATAAGGTTAAAATCACAATTCTTTTTTATTTTCAATATTACAGATTTTGGCCTCACCCACTTTGGAAGCAAAAATAGCTCAAAATTTTGGTTGGGTTTTAATTCTTTTTATTTCTACTTTAAAACACATACCAAGGGGTTGGACCACATAGCTCTGGCACCAAAAGGTTAACAGGTTATGAAAATCACAGTACACTTTTAAAACTTGTCAGTTAGTCAAGGACATTTAAAATGATAGCCACTTTTTGTTTTTGTTTTTTATAATAAAGATATAAATTAGAGGTCTGTAAATGTGTCATATTTACCTACAGAGCTATTAACTCGCAGCTACAATGAGAGCAGTATGGAAAGTCAATGTTAAACTGAGCTATGCCAGGAGACAAATTCTTAATCAATAGTGCATTACAGGGTAATACAATAGGTAAATTACAGTTTGGCACCATATGTTGCATGTAGTTAATTGGAAGAAAAAAAAATAACCAGGCATAAATGAAATTAAGTGCACTCTCTTAGAACTAGACTGGCCAGATGCAAAAAAGAAAAAGAAAAAAGGTTGGCTTGTTTAATCGCAGCTGGCTCCACCATTCTGGAACACCAATGCCTTAGGTGGGAGATGCTGAGAGGTGGGAGCAAAGCATTGAATATGAACTACTATGCCCAACACCCTTAAGTTAATTAATTATTTTCAGACACAATTGATGCCTTTGTCTCGTTATTGATGTTGAAGAGAAAATCAGCAACCACCCCTGTGGGGAGGTGACAACTTTAAAACATGGACAAATTCCTTTTTTGCACAAGGTGACTAAATATTCAAAGAACTGTAGGTCAGAAGGAAGGGAGGGAGGGAGAGAGGGGGAAAGAGAAATTTGTCCAAGCTCTGGCCATTGTTTTGTTCACCTCAGATGTCAAAATGCCTTGGACTGGCTCTGCATTGTGTAGAGTCATAGAATCCTAGAGTTCGAAGAGACTCCAGTCCAACTCCCTGCCAAGAAGCAGGAAAATCGCATTCAAAGCAAATGTAAAAAGAGAGTTTGCAACAGAAAATCCATTTTCTGTACAGCTCTGCAAATAACAGCTATTCTGTTCTCTTAGGCATCTGGCCATCGTTACTTAGAACCAAGATTAAAAACAAGCTGTTGTTTTTACAAGTGGAAGCAATGAAATCAACCACACTCTACACAAGTTGGACTCGATAGTTACAGTTCTAAGAAAGCAAGTATATTAAAATGCACACCAACAAGGATATTAAAGTATAAATCTTTCCCCACCCCCTGTTAGTAGAAATAATTTACAATCCACAAAGGGACTTCTGGGTAAGCCACTAACTACAGTCATTAAAGGAATGTAGTTTAGTAGGCTTGTTTCACACAGAAAGGCAACATTACCCTGAAAAAAAGTTTGGTCCTCTTAAAATCCATAGCAGTGTGGCCATTGCAGAGAGTCCCCATAGTATATGCTAAGTGTTTTTTTAAATAAATCTTAGGGGGAAAGAAACATGGATTTTTGGGAAGAAAAAAATTGGCCCCATTTAGCTTTCTTTTATCTTGTCAAGAGTCTGGAAGAACCATGCCATAAGTAGGTAAGAACAACCTCATTTTGTGATCCAACAGCATGTTGTTGTGTGCATCTGTTACCAAAACTTGTCTTTTTCTTTTCTTCAGCCCCACCCCTGGCCTCTTTAGAATTACAAGACAACAAAGCCTCTGTCTCAATGACAGGGAAAAAAATGACATTTCACTCTCTATTTACAAGTGAGTCACTTTGGCTAGAAGGGTCCCAGCTCACAAAGCACTGTTTACTTTTTGTGAATGTCCTCATGGCGTATAATTTTGTATGTAATCCAGTAAAATATATTGAAGATGAGAAAGGCAAGCGGAAATGCAGCTCGGGATATTGTATCAATCCTTTTGGCACGGTCAACAAACTTCTTTTTGATAGATTCTGAATCCTTTGGTAGGGGTGGAGGCGGAGGGTTGGGAGGAGTGGCTTTGACTGCAGCACCATCTTTCACCTGTAGACAGTGGCCCATCCCGTAGCCACCAAAATTAAACCGGCTGTCACGAGCACCACCTTCCTCCTAGAGGACAAGAGACAGAAATCAGAGATATTAATTATCCTCTGCACAGTCCAGCTATGCCTTTAGAAAATATAAACTGGTATAAGCTAGTTTTTATGGTTTGTTCATAATCCTGCTTTATGAAATCTCATTAAATGTGGTAATAAGATTACACTAGTGCTAAGATAGTAAACAAGCATTGAGTATTTGTACTATTTTTTTAGTGGAAGCCAGAGTGGTCCAATGGATAGTGTTGGCCTTGGATCATGTCTCCAATCTATCGTGAAGTTCTCTAAATTATTTCAGGTTAGTTACTAATTTTCTACCCAAAACATCTAATAGGATTCTTGTAAAAATAAATCTAACATAAGAGTCAAGATCAGAAGCTACAGTGCCTAACTTTGCAGTGATATGAATACGTCTCTAAAACTATATACTGAATACATACATAATTACATAAACAGACCTCACTACCTCTGAGGATGCTTGCCATAGATGCAGGCGAAACGTCAGGAGAAATGCCTCTAGAACATGGCCCTATAGCCCAAAAACACCCACAAGAACCTATATACATAATTGTTTCATAACTTCATGCATGAAATAAAATTTGTTTATCAGGAAGCTTATTGTCCTTGTCTTTATTGCGATTTATCATTATAACAGCAACAGCTTCTTCACAAGATCATTCAGTAAGGATGATTGATGATTCCAAGTCTAACCCAAACTACAACCTCCATAATTAAATGCAGGAGCAGAATACTGTATCAAACTATAATACCCCGGTTGTGTAGAATTCTCCTAAAATCATTTACACAAATGATTCAGTGTTCAGGGAAGTGTAGCTATTCATATATTTTTTGTTGAACTGCAGCTTCTTAGTGGTGAGGGATGATGGGAATTGGAATCCAATGACATCTGAAGGCTTATCTATATTCTACCCTTGCAACAGAACCAAACAACATTTATGGGAACTGCTTCAGCAATTACACATAGGTCTTCAGCATTCCAATTTTAAAGAAATGTTTTGTCATTCCTGTTCCCCTCCTTTTTGAGAAAGTAGCTGTTTGGTTTATAAATAAGTGAAAAATGCCCTGGTAAATCAGAAAGAACAGCATTTCTTTTTAAACCTTTAATGACACTTCCATAAGAACCAAGCAAAGCAGTGTTCCCAGGACGCTATCTCTTGTAGTAAGCAGAGTATGCAGAAGGAATGCAAATCCAGGTCAGAAGGTTAATTAAAGGAGAACAGATTCTCAGCAGCCAGTGTTTTGTGTTTTGAATTTATTTGGAAGCTTTCAAATATGCTAATAGCTTATTATATGAAGTGCTCATCTGGCTTTTCTAGCTCTTTCCAAATATAATGAGCTTCTGCTTTCGACAGGGTAGGCTGAAATTCCTGATAAATCAGATGAGGGATGCTCGCAAAAGGTTTGTTCCTAATGAACCAATCAAAAGACATTGAACAGAAATTCCTTCTCTCCCCTCCTCTCTTTAATGGATTTTCTCTGGCAAGAAAGAAGATGAAAGAAGTCATGAGAAGACATTGGAGAATTGCAAATGGATGTCATTCTCTAAATCTCTTGTAAAATTCTGTATATGACGAAAGATGTTAAAGTCTCTTTTAAAGGTTCAGAGATCATCTTTTATACATGTTCCTTTTCTCACACACCTTTGCCACACTTTCACACACTGAACAAGTTTGAGAGTTTTACAAATGGTTTATACCAGTTTTGACAACTTTACCCCCAAATAATCCTAGGAATTCTAATTTGGCAGGAATGCTGCAAATTGCCTGGTACAATTTTCTAGCCTTTTCATAGGAGATCGGTTCCCTCCATAGAACATATATCAGAAAATTTCAGTGGCTGATGTTCCTCATACTACATTTCTTATGGTTCCTAATGCTCTGCGTACCAGTATGGCAGTGTCTGCTGTGAAGTTTTGCCTTTTCCTTTTCCTTTCCTCTCCTTTAGTTCCCCCTGTTCATAGATTTTCCCAATAGTGTAGATATCTTCCTTTGTATTAATTTATGGGTGGAGCATAACACCCCCCAGAGGCCAACCTTAGTTGGTTTGTTCCATTTCCCTGTATAGAGCTCTTTGCTGGACTTCGCCCTCTTTTCTACAGCAGAGCTACTGTGATTTAGGCTTGGGATTGTCTGGTAATCCTAGGCCCAAGCAATTCAAACAGGCATCATTAGCACCTGCATTCAGCAGTGTTTTTATACTGTCAGTCCAAAGGACAACAGAAGCTTATGTCCAGCTCATGCTTCACAAGAAAAAAGATTGAGACAGTTTATAACCATCGCTTTGCATCACAGGCAGAAGACTCCAGAGAGATGACTGCAGCCAGCAAAGGCTCCTTTTGTAATTTATTGTTTTAAGTTAACTTATGATAGTCCCGGGTGGAGTTAACTCTTTATTCATCTTGTTTGCAGTAAACCCATTTGGTTATCTTTTCACTTTGCCTTAAGTGCCTCTGTGTGTTAAAGGGTCTTAATCTTAACAGAAGGTATACAGATAGCCCCCAAGTAAAGTAAGACACTATAGTTTTCCCAAAGACTTGGGCATGCCATCACACCTGCAGTTGCTACCTCTTCCTGGCACCATCCAAACAATTGTCTACCACAGCGAAAACATTCTGCTAGGTTTCAGTCCATTGGGACCCCAGTGGCATAATGAGTTAAACCCTTGTGCCGACAGGACTGCTGACTGAAAGGTCAGTAGTTCGAATCCAGGAAGTGGGGTGAGCTCCTGCCTATCAGCTCCAGCTTCTCATGCAGGGACATGAGAGAAGCCTCACATAGAATGGTAAAACATCCAGGCATCCCCTGGGCAATGTTCTTTCAGACAGACAATTCTCTCACACCAGAAGCAACCGGCAGTTTCTCAAGTCGCTCCTGGCATGAAAAAAATCTTCATAATTCAAGTTATGTAAAATGGGGTTACACTCCTGAAGATGCAGATTCATAATTTGACCATGCTCTTTCATTCAGCTTTGAACATGGAGCTCTGGACTTTTGAAGTGGCTTTTGCACATTTAAAGTGTGCGCATAGACTTCTCCCTTTACTTGAGACATCATATCTGGCCGTTATGGCACATGCTTTGTTGTATCTTGCTTGTTGGACTACCATAATATGCTTTTCAAAAAACTACAGTGAGAGTATTAATTGGGGCACATTAATACTACTCACTTGTTACAATAGCTTCATTGTTTTCTAGTTTATTTCTGGGCACAATTCTGCTAGCTATGATCTATAAAGCCCCACGTGGCTCATTTTCAAGCTATCTGGCCCACTATATCGCCTCATCTCCCTGTCTGGCCCCTATGATCATCAGGAGAGGTTCTTCTCTCAGTTGTACCACCATCAAAAGTAAGAGTGATGAGGATGTGAGATGGTTGTCCCTAAACTCTTCCAAAATAGGCCAGAATGGCCTCCTCCTTGCTAACCCTCCATTTGAGGCAAACTTTTTCTTATTCTGAAAGGTTTAAAGGAAAATATATTAAAGAATAGGCTAAAAACATGCTGCTTTGATTTTGCATTGAACTTTCTAAAAACAGCATTTTCTTCTTTTTAATTATGTTGTATTCTTTTAATTCTGTGAATAGTTTAATTTCATTTTAATGTTTACTTTTTTGTTCGTTTTTAGATGTGTTGTTCTTTCCTAAATAGTAAGGTATCTTGAATCTCAAATTTGGGAGAAAGACCCAAAGCGGCATTCATATGCCAGATAAATGTAGTTTAAATTTTTAACCAAATGTTATTTAATTGTTGAATCGTTTAAGGCATTGAATTTTGCCTCTGCTGTAAGCCACCTTGAATCCCCTTTGGAGTTGAGAAGGGCAGAATATAAATATAGTAAATAAATAGTTTCTTGTTACTTGAGAGTTACTATGAAAATATGCCAAAACTATACCCCATACTATAACATACCATACATTTTGTATTGACTTGATGTTAATATTGAAATATAGTAATTAAATCAAATTAAGACAAATAAAGCTAATTTTAACTTAATGTAACACAGTTTTACTGCATTATATGTGTATTCTAATTTTATTGAAAGTTGCTTGAGAGTTCTGGTTGCTTGAATTCCAGTATGTATGACTTTGTGTTTTATGAAATAACGAAGAATTACAAAAATGTTTTCAGGGCAGTGGACCATTTTTCTTCAGATTTGTTAAGACAAATATGATAAAAGTTCAAGGATTATTTGTAGCCCCTCTCCTTACTGACAATTTTTTCCATGAAGGCACATTATGCGTAATGGATTATGCTACAGATTGAGTCAACGTGATTGAGTCAATACTTTTTGTGATATATACACATATTTGAGCTTCCAAATTCTGACAATAATGTCTTTTAAATTTAGCAGATAGTTTCTTAGGCTGAGGTCCATTGTTTCCACAACAGCCTAAGGGCAAAGATTACAGTTAAACCTACAGTGATAATGTTAATATGCCCTTTATCTTGCTCAGTGATGCTGTTCCATAAAAGTTATCTCTAAGCCTATGTGTCTGCTAAAGTCTTAGTGAACTTTATCTGCATCAATGATCCATAGGATAAGGTAAAGTTGGAGACATTTTCTCCAAACTTGTTTACATCCCTTAAAACCTCCCCCCACCTAGAGCAGTCTACATATTTTAGACTACAGTCTTCCTGTTGATTGCACACGACAGGGTTTGTAGGGAAGCACACCTGACAGGAACCAGATTCTGTAAAGCTACAAAGACAGAAAATACATTATCTTTTTTGGTTGATTCAAACTGGACATAGATCAGGCTATAACATTTCTTGAGAATTATCATTACCAATAATATACAGAAAGGCATGAAGAGTTTCCACACATCCAAAACAAGGTTAATAGCTAGTTGTTTGATAAAATTCAAAGTATTCGTTTCCTCTCCTAGGAAACTATTTAATGTTTAGGCCAAAGCATATTCTTTGGGCAAAAATCATCTGTAACAATTTAAAAATCAAATCTCCTCCATCTTCTAAGAATAAAACTAGAAGTACAGG